GTGCGCCACGGGTCGATGTCGCCCGCATGCTCCGGTGCCGCTGCTCCGTCCGGCGCCGCTGTAGTCAGCCCGAGCATAATTGAGAGGAACATGAGCGAGAGTGCAGACTACAGCAGCAGCGTCTCCCCGGCGCAAAGTGCAGCAGTTGGGGGTGGAGGAGGCGAGGGTGAAACAGAAACAGCCGTACGTGTTTGTGTTTTGCTTTGGTGCACTGCGTTTTCGCTCCAAATGACAACAACGGAGGCTTAGTGCTGCGTAGCTACGGCGGTTGATTGTTGATTCTGTTGTTGTCGTTCTTCGCGGTTTTGATTGCTGTACCTCTGAGTGGAGGAGGCGCCAAGGCAACCGCAGGTCAGGTGTAGTCGAACTGTTTTTTTTTTTCGTGTCAGCTTCATTAATTATAGTTGATGAGGAAGACCAATGGTGGCGCCGCTGTAGGGTGGGGTAGAATCAGAATGCACGGAGCCACGTTGATCTCGGAGTATAATATCAGTATTGTGTTTCATGCGGTGCAGACGTCCTTTTGTGCGGTGCAGGACGTGATGTCCTGTGACGCTGCTACTATCGGGGTAAGTACCGGGTTCGTCTGTAGGTACGTTGTTTGTGTACGATACAGAGGAGTTCTGTGAGACCAAAGTACCCTACAGAGATTTCACAGATAGTTCGGTACTCTCCCCAGTATCTACCGAGATTTTACAGAAAGTTCGGTACTCTCCCAGTACCCTACAGATATTTCACAGAATGTTCGGTACTCGCCCAGTACCCTACAGAGATTTCACAGAACATTCTGTATTTTCCCAGTACACTACCGAAAAGTTCTGTGAGACCCCAGTACATACAGAGATTTTACAGAGGAGTTCTGTGAGACCCCAGTACCCTACAGAGATTTCGCAGAACGTTCGGTACTCGCCCAGTACCCTACAGAGATTTCACAAACAGCTCTGTAACTCTCCCAGTACCCTACAGAAGTATCAGTGCCCTACAGAACGGACCTGTGAGTTTCTAAATTCTTCGCTTTTTTCGCACTTTTTCGAAAAAACAAAAGCAATCCCCGGGCTACGTACGTACGTCAATTTCCCCCCCGGGTGCCAGTTGTGACAAATCAACACGACGAGTATCTATCGTCGGCGTTGCTTGTCTGAAGCTGATTATTAGTGTTTACCGGGCTTTATTTGCTGCTGCCTGGGTTTCAGGAATTCTGCATTATTATTAGCGATCACGCCCCGACTGCGGATCGGATGGAAACCAAAAAAGAAACAACAGCTGCTCGGGGAACAACGCAAACGCAAATAATCCGTAAGAACATACTCCGTTGGTCACCGTACAACAACACCATGAACCCATTGGTAATGTACTTACTTACTGCGGACTCTTATCCATCTGTGGAAGCGAAATTCTTTGATTTCTTCGCGCTTTTTCGAAAAAACAAACGCAATCCCCGGGCTACGTACGTCGATTTCCCCCCCGGTACCAATTGTGACAAATCAACGCGACGAGTATCGTCGGCGTTGTTGCTTGTCTGAAGCTGATTAGTGTTTACCGGGCTTTATTTGCTGCTGCCTGGGTTTCAGGAGTTCTGCATTTTTAGCGATCACGCCCCGACAGTCTGCGGATCGGATGAAAACCAATATGAAACAACAAACAGCTGCTCGGGGAACAACGCAAACGCAAATAATCCGTAAGAACATACTCCGTTGGTCACCGTACAACACCATGAACCCATTGGTAATGTACTTACTACTGCAGACTCTAATCCGTGGAAGAGAAATACAACAGCTGCTCGGTGAACAACAACGAAAACGCAAATAAACCGTGGAATATACTCCGTTGGTCACCGTACAACACCATGAACCCATTGGTAATGTACTGCGGACTCTTATCCATCTGTGGAAGCGAAATGGTGCTATCTATGCAGAGAAAATTGCTGTGGTCACCGCTCGTTGTGTTGGTGACATTGTAAACAGTTACAGTCGTCGGCGTTGCTTGTCTGAAGCTGATTATAAGTGTTTACCGGGCTTTATTTGCTGCTGCCTGAGTTTCAGGAATTCTGCATTTTTAGCGATCACGCCCCGACTGCGGATCGAATGGAAACCAAAAAAGAAACAACAACAGCTGCTCGGGGAACAACGCAAACAAACGCAAATAAACCGTAAGAAATATTTAACGTAACCACTTCGGTGGAAAGCGAATTTCTGTTCGATACGGTGTCAGGGGTACCAGGGAAGACAGGGCCGAGTTTTGTTTGATTTCGGGTGGATGAGGCTCGCGGTTTTGTTCGTTTTTCTCCGGCTAGAGTAAACCAGGGTATTAACGAACACCCCCCCTTTAACGAACACTTTTTTCAAATGCACGTCCCTCGGCGCACAATGCGCGGAGCCCCCCAATTTTTTTTTTGAAATCTTCAGCTTTCCGTTAGCTTTCGTTTGAGCACCTCCGCGTGTCGATCGGGTCAAGCACTCCCGAGATACAGCACAGCCCTCACCCACACCCCTTATGTGGGGCATCTTTGCCCTTTTCGGGGTCCTGCTGCTAAGCATGGGACGTAAGAGAGTAGACCCAGAGCAGGCCCAGAAGGCTGTAGATGCGGTACGCAGCGGTGAGATGTCGCTCCGCGTTGCTGCGAGGACCTACGGGTTACCGCTAGCCTCGCTGCACGACCGTGTGAAGAACAAGGTGGCCATAGATGCGAGGGTTGGTCCCGGGACTGTCCTGAGCAAGGAGGAGGAAGATTTCGTAGAAGACGTCTTGATCTACGCCTCCCGACACTTCTTGCTGTTGGGTCGGAGGGAGCTGAGAGACGCTGTGCGCAACATCTGCACCGACGGGCGCAAGGTGCCCTGGGACCCAGACAAGGGCCCTGGGGACAGCTGGCTTGAGGGGTTTATGGCGAGACACCCGGGTTTGTCGGAGCGAGCCACCCACATCTACGAAGCAAACCGGATTAACGAAGACGGCGAGCCTCGCCTTCAAGCTTTCTACAAAGCATGGGCGGAGTACCTGGAGGAGACCAAGCTCCCGCCGGAACGCATCCTCAACACGGATGAGACAAGTGAGTTAGGGCAAGGGTTGAGGTGTCAGTAGGTGTCATTGGGTGTCAGCGGTGTCAGTATCGACTGCTGTGGGTTCGTAGGCGAAGTACCAGCAGCACTGCGATGTGTCACAACAACGCGGAGTTCTGCTGCTGCAAAAAAAAAAGATCCAGCAGTTGTCCCGCATATCTTCCGAGCCGTTGCTGCTTGTCATGCGCGTAGCACACAACACGCCCGCATGTTTGCTGCTGGAGTCGGCTGAGGTTAGCATGTAACAGTCCCTGTGGTCATCTCAGTTGCACTCTGCCGCATGATTGCATGTGTACATCGTTTTCTGTTGTGATGCTACCGGCAACAGCGGGCGTGTGTTCTTGGTCTGCAAAATGCATGTGTGTTGCTGAACGACGCGCGAAGTGCAGACTAGTCTAGTCACGTCGAGACTTCAGTAGAACGCTTTGTTTTTGTAAACCCACCTACGTTTGGAGCTCAATGCAAACTGCCATGGGTGTGGGGTTATTGTTTCGCACCCAAAGTTTAAACGAATCCGACACTTGCCGCACAAAAAATGGCCTTCACCACTGCTGTGTGCCACCACCCGGAGCGAGCAGCACCCATGTGTGTTTGTACGCGCGTTTTTTGTGTGTCTAGTTTACTGATTGTTCAACTGTCTTTACCCCCGATGCGCGCGTGTTGTAGGTTCGACCCCTCAAGGTACAAAGTCGGGGAAGGCAATCGTCGCAAGAGGCACCAAGGTACCCGGCGCGAGGCGTTCCAATTCGCGAGAAAATACGACGGTGGTCGCCACCATCGGTGCCGACGGCCACACGTTCCACCCTACCATCATCTTCAAAGGCCAGCGTATGCAACCCGCTTGGATCCAGGACAACAACGGCGTCCCCGATGCGAAGTACACCGTCACGGAGTCATCCTTCATCCAGAGCCACGTCTTCCTGGACTACCTTCGAGACCTCCGCAAGCAGCTCGATGCGCGCGGCTTGCTGGGCAAAGCTGCCCTTGTGCTCGACGGCCACGCCTCACACACGACCTTCGACGCCATCAGCTTGGGCATCTCCCTGGACATGGACCTATTCCAGCTTCCATCCCACACATCGCACATCACCCAGCCCTTGGACGTCGGTACGTTCGGAACCTTCAAGATGGAGATCACCAAGGTGCTCACGGCCTACCCGCTAAAGAACGGGGGGAGGAGTCCGGTGAAGCGCGACATGGCTGGCGTGATTGCGGAGGCATGGGCAGGGAGCTTCACGCCTGAGAACAACAAGGCGGCGTTCAAAGGGTCGGGCTTGTGGCCGGTGAGCATGGAGAAAGCTATCAACAGACTACACAGCAAGAGGAAGCAACGGGACCATGACCGCCCTATTCGTGAAGACCTCGCCGTGGTTGCCTCTAAGGATCAACTCGAGCGAGACCTCGGCCGCGCTGCCCTCCTGGAGCTGAAAAGACACGGGCTGATGATCGAGGGGCTCCGTGTCAACACCGTGTTCCTTGGCGGGCTCACCCGCCTCACCAAGCGCACCAAGGCTTTCGCGACCGTTCGGGCGGGGGGGGGGAAGCCCGAAGGTGGTCTGCTGTCCGCCGAAGAACATCTTGCTCAGGCCAAGAAGGACCAAGAAGCGAAGCAGGCAGCTGAGGAAGCAAAGGCGGCACGCGCGGAGGCAAGGGCAACGAAGGAGGCCAACCAACAATCTGGAGCAGTTGGTGGGCGGGGCGGCGGGCAGGGCGGCGGGCGGGGCGGCGGGCGGGGCGGCGGGCGGGGCGGCGGGCGGGGCGGCGGGCGGGGCGGCGGGCGGGGCGGCGGGCGGGGCGGCGGGCGGGGCGGCGGGCGGGGCGGCGGGCGGGGCGGCGGGCGGGGCGGCGGGCGGGGCGGCGGGCGGGGCGGCGGGCGGGGCGGCGGGCGGGGCGGCGGGCGGGGCGGCGGGCGGGGCGGCGGGCGGGGCGGCGGGCGGGGCGGCGGGCGGGGCGGCGGGCGGGGCGGCGGGCGGGGCGGCGGGCGGGGCGGCGGGCGGGGCGGCGGGCGGGGCGGCGGGCGGGGCGGCGGGCGGGGCGGCGGGCGGGGCGGCGGGCGGGGCGGCGGGCGGGGCGGCGGGCGGGGCGGCGGGCGGGGCGGCGGGCGGGGCGGCGGGCGGGGCGGCGGGCGGGGCGGCGGGCGGGGCTTCGGGCGGGGCGGCGGGCGAGAGGGGGGGAGAGGTGGAGGGCGCGAGGGTGGGAGAGGTGGAGGGCGGAGCGGGGGGCGTGGCGAAGGACGGGGCGGGGAACAGGACGGAGGGCGGGGAGAGAGGAGCGTGAGGGTTGAGCTAAGCGGGACGCGGACGGCGATCAGGGGGCGCGGTGGCGGTGGGCGAGAGGGGCGTGGCAGAGGACAGGGTGGCCAGGACCGCACCACTGGTGCTCGTGGAGAGCAAATGGGGGCGGGAGGGCGGGGGGGGGACGAGGGGAGAGGTGCTCCCGTCCAAGGAGGAGCGGGACGGCCGAGAGGGGCGGCGGTTCCCTTGGTTCACCCGCCGCCGTCGGCGGCTCCCATTTCTTCCCGAGGACGGCAGCGGATCCCGACACCAATCGTTGATGTTTAGACCAGGGCAGATGCTTTGCGGTTGTTGTTGTTTTTCTGGGCTACTATTGTCTAGGCGGTGGATGAATTAGACTATACGAGTAAAGCAGAAGATTAGGTGGTTTGTGGGGGCATGTGGAGATGGTTAGGGTGCACCCCAGCAGCGCGGGGGGGGCGGGGGGGTTGATACCGGGAAACCCGGGGATATGGTAATTTTGTCCCCGGGCATGCATGATTTTTTTTTTTTTTTGCAACAGCGTTTCTTGTGATAAAACAAACCTACACACCAAAGGGCGTCTTGTGGGAATGTAAGATGACTGTGAAAAAAGGGAAATGGCCTTGGGGTTCTTGCGGAGAATTATAGCGGTAGCGGCCGGGTCAAGGGGTGCCTGTTTGAACGGGCATTACATCACATGCGCGAAGTTTTTCGTCCCAATTTTTTTTTCTTGAGTATGTATATGATCAGATTAGACCCACTGTGCAATAATCTCTTAGTTTTGGCTCTTTTCATGTGTGCAGCACCGCCGTACGGTCAAAAATGGGGTAAAATCCGTCCCCGATTTCAGGCGGAAAACCCGGGGATGTGAGGATTTTGTCCCCGGGCGTGGATCGATTCCCTTTTTTTTTTTCCTAAACGGATATATGTTGCGACAGACGTATCTCCACAAAAAATCAGATCATGAAACGCTTCAGAACGCACGAAAGCAGCTACAAAGCTAAAGTGTTCGTTAATTGGGGGGGGGGTGTTTTCCTGCATTTTCAGCTAAACAATGGAATGCACTGCATCAGCTCTATCTCGTTGACACGAACGATTTTTTTTTTTTGTTTTTAGGGAGGTAGCCTATAATACAAGCTATCGTCCGGTACCCACAAATACATCATACTCCTCTTCATGCCCGAGAACGAGCTGTTGGCGCGAGGGGTGGCTTAAGCGTTCGTTAATTGGCCGGTTTACTCTAAGGGTCGTGCCTAGAGTTCAGCTGTAGTAGTAGTGTTTCAACCAAACTTTTGTTGACTTAGAGGCAATCATTCCTAGCTATTGGGCATCGAGTTAATTTGGCTTGGCATGACGGCCTTTACGATCGACTTTTTATATATGTCTGCATTTATCTGCAATTGTCGGAGGGCAAACAAAATAACAAAACAATATTAATAATATACTCCGTTGGTCACCGTACATCACCATGAACCCATTGGTAATGTACTACTACTGCGGACTCTTTTCCATCTGTGGAAGAGAAATGGTGCTATGCAGAGAAAATTGCTGTGGTCACCGCTCGTTGTGTTTGTTGGTGACATTGTAAACAGTTACTACAGTCGTCCATGTCGCTGTCAGTCAGTCCATCATGCAGTACCACAGTATATTATAGTCTACATCTTGTTTGTGGGTACTTACATATATATATATTAGTCCGATCTGTGGATCCTCTGTGGGGGATACGCGTATGGGAAGTATGGGTGTGATGGATATGTATGTATGCGGTTGAGGTCCAAGTGCGACCCCCCCGGGTGAGCGCACGGCGGTGTGTTCCCGGCACTTACTTGTCTGTGGGGTGAGCATCCTTGTCCTGTGCAATATATGTACATGATGGCTACGCGCGTTCCTGGGATAACATAGTACTCAGTCTCAACACCACAGACCGCTGAGGGCGGCAGTGCATACTAACATATCTATCGCACAAAATTACAGTTGTTGTGAGTGTGATACATCAACCCGAGGAGTACCGTCTGTCTGAGGCTGAATTGTTTTTTAGCGAGTTTAATTAGCTGCTGGCTGAGTTCACTGGGTTGATAGATCGCGACCCGACGGCGGATGGAAACCAAAAATGAAACAAGAAGAGCTGCTCGGAAAACGACCGTAACAAATTGGAATACGTACGTACAACAACGTTAGACCCATCGATCGGTAACCTACCGCGAAACCTGATCTGTGGAAGAGAAAGGGTGTGGTGGCGATTCGCCTGCCACCGTTCGTTGTTGTGGTCACAATGTAAACAGTCGTCCAGGTCGTTGCTCAGTGAGTCAGCCACGTAGACCAAAGATTATATATAGACTATATCTAAAAAAAATACACTTGCGTATGCATACATATCCAAAAAAAAAACTTGTGATACGTGCGTGCGCCATAGATAGGCCGAGATCGACCTTTGAGACCCGATTGGGCGAGGGAGGGGGGATCGGAATAAGAGGGCACCAGAAACGTACCAGCTTCCGACTATTTGGAAATGTGAGATTAATTTCTCCTCCGAAATTTTTGCGCGAGGCCCTACCGACCGACTTGATATTCAAATTGATATTGCGACACTATTTCCACAATAATTGGAGGAGAGGAGAGAGAAGGAGATAGATCCATTTTTCCAAAATGGTTCCAGATGATGAACAGGAGAGGGACACAACACGACGGCGAAGCGGTGAAGACGAGGAAATGGATGTTTGTTGGGTCTGCTGCTGCGCGCGGATGGAGGTGAACTTCGGCGAGGGGGCATGGCTCGCAAAATGCCCTATGGACGCATACTGAAAATATCGCGAAACATGCGCCGTTGGTCGACATTGATTGGTGTTGATATCTGCCACACAAACTGACCGTGAGATTCGAATCTACCAAAAAGAACGATGAGGACAGGAAGACGGCGAACCCGTCAGCGAAGACGAGAGAGAAATAGCACGCAACGCATGGTCGCACATGGTCGCACTCTTGTGACGTACGGTACTACATTTGGAAGTCGATCAAACTTCGCGACTGGCAACAATTTGGGATGCCCTACCGAGGCATACTCGAGATGTCGCGAGCCACGCACCATAGGTCGAGATCGGCTTTTGAGACACAGTCGGGCAAGGATGGGGGAATCGGAGTAAGAGGGTCAGCGACAAAAACGAATTTAGGTCGGAGAGACTGAAGCTTACAGCTTCAGAATTTTCCCACGAGTTCCCACGTGGCGGGGGGGGGGGGGGGAGGGGGGATACTCTTATGTTTTGCATGCCTTAGCGGTTAGACCATTGACCACGCGCCCTCGAGAGGACGGAGCATTGTTCCCACAGGACCGATCACCGATGGTCAATCGTTCCTTCCTACTTTGCCAAAGGTGGCTCAAAAATGTCTTCCCTAGTCTTATCCATCCTACCGATATCCCTTCCCGCCTTTTCAACCCACTTCTTGTGCCCCAGTACAGCGAACGTCTTCTCCTGGCTATCCCATGCCTCACACATCTCCCTGTACGTCCCATCTATTTTCCCAGCTCAGTCACGTACGCTTCCCTCTCCTTGCACAGTCGACATTCCGCGACTACATGAACACGGTCTTCGCACTCGGAGCCGCAATTACACTTGAACGTGGCGTCCTCATCGTCTGCCTTCCTAAATCTTCGGCGAAGTTCTAGAAGGCCAATGTCCCCGGTCCTAAATTTGACCTTCAGATTTGTCCCGGCATCCGTTGGTCCATTGAGGTACTCCTTGAATCCTATTCATTCTTTCAACATTCCGTACACTTCGCCCTCCTTGTCCTTGTTTTTTTTCTTAAATTCCGTTCTTCTCTCTGGGCAAAAACAACAGATATCTTCCCCTCGAACCCTTTCAGACCCTCCGTATCCATCGTGTCGCCTTCTTCGTCAATTTCGAGCCCTTTCCATACGTCACCTACAACCCTGGCCCACTCCGTGGGTTGTCTACCCCTCTTCGTGTTTGCTCACGTCGCCTCCCAGGCTATTCCTCTCCTCTCTCATCCCACATGGCGGGTTGTTTCCCTGCTTCTCATTTGTCGTGTCGGAAGTTTTGCATCGCGAAGCAAAAAGTGCATGGTAAATCAAACGGCGACAATCCATCTCAACTCGTCGGCTCAAAGGATATTTGTGGGTTGAATGCAACAGTGAGGCCTTCACCCGTCTTTCTGAGTTGAATTGCACTCCCCCACTCCCGGGGGAGCTTGCCCCGGGGATGGCGAGCGTTTGAACTAAAATTTCCCGCGGGGGGTGTGGTTTCAGAAACAAAAACAAAATCCTCACTTCGGCGGTGCAACTCCGTGTAGTTTACGGTATTTAAAACGAGCTAGAGCTCTCTGTGCGGGGAAAGAGTGCCGTTCTGTTGGACCCTCAACCCTAACCTCAACACCTCTTGTCTGCGGGAGGAGGAGCGGCGGCGGGTGTGTTTTTTTTTTGCTTCACATGAATCCAGAGTTTGTTGAGGTACCTTTGCCCCGTGGGGGAAGCTCTCCCGAACTCTGAACCGTGGTCATTCAGAAGGCTCCTGTCCCTGAGGCCCCCAACTCCCGTCCTTCTGCGGTGCTTTGCTGATAATTTCTAGTACGAGAAGAGTGTCAACCGCACCTCTCTCCGCTGCGTACGCACGCACCGAGCGCTTGCCGCTGGCAAGTACGAAAGCGAGCGAAAAAATAACCTTTCATGAGAAAAAGTGCCCACAACGTCCGGACTCGAACTCATGACCTGCGTGCTAGAAGGCTTTGCGCGAGGATACTAACTATATCACCGGGGCGACCGGTGGTGTACGGGTTTGCTACATTCGTATGCATAGCTTTAGTGTCATAACGTCTGCCTCATCCGCACTCACTCACACTGCCTGCGAGTTAATGCGGTGCTTAACTTTCTTCCTTGTTGGTCCATGACGGTGGAGGACGAGGTACATGTAGAAAAGAAGACATCGCCGAGTCACTGCGTGGGGTATAGTTTGGAAATTGGCAGCATTGGCACCAAAGGCGCCGAGCGCGGGCAAGCCAAAGTCTAAAGGCCGTAATTCTGAGCCAACTTCGCGAGCTTTGAACGAAATCGAGAAACGAAACATTCACCGAGGAGTGAGTGTGGCACGCAAGCTTTCCTATTGTACGAAATATTTCTTTTCGCCATTGGTTGTCAACATAATTCGAAATCGGCGGCGAAAAGGTCGGGGCGTACGAACGAAGAAATTTGGAATAAATCAAGAGCGTTTTCGCCTCCCTCTCGGCAACTCTGGGGCTTCGTGTATGGTACATGTAGGGAGATAGCATCGTATACCTTTTTTGCGGGAAAGAAAAGATAAATCTGGTAGACTGCAGCACATGTATGCAAAGACATACATAGTGACAGATTGGGGGTTGCCTACCATCGTCGAAGACTTTGGTGATGGGCGGTGGTTGCTTGTATTTGATTTGATACTTCCTCTGTCTCATAAGTCAGGTACCTCAATACAACACACTGGGTGGGTGCAACCGTGTTAGTGATGGTAGCGTAGTCGGGTTCGTTAGAAAGATATGACAAACACGAAGCGATAGAAAACAAAAAAAACGAAGATCTACTTCTGTACCTAAAATTTGGCCTGTTTTGGAAGAATTTTTTTGAATATACTTTTGCCCCGCAAGTGTCTTGGTTTTAGTGTGGTCCCCCCAAGTGTATTGGTCTTAATGTGAACCCCAAGTGTCTTGGTTTTAGTGTACTATTATTCTGGTTTGAGTATGGAGACGCGACGTGGATACTGAGTATAGGGGGGGTTGGGTTTCGGGATCTACTGATGTTTCTTTGCCCCGCAAGTGTCTTGGTTTTAGTGTTGGCACCCCAAATGTATTGGTTTTAATGTAGGACCCCCAGTTGTCATAGTTTTAGTGTGGGACCCCCAAGTGTCTTGTTTTTGTGTGGAGGTCACTACTATACTGATTTTAGGATGGGGGCGCGACATGGATCGTTGAGTAGAGGGGGGGTTAGGTGGAAGGTTCGGGATAATTCTCGCGTCTTTTTGTCGTGTTGTCAAGGGTCTGTGCGAAAAAAAAAAACGGACA